CAACCCTCTGCGGAGATCGTGCGTGTCGAGTGCGCGAAATGCAGGCGCGAGTGCGATTGGTGCGGTCCGCCCGCAACCCTCTGCGGAGATCGTGCGTGTCGAGTACGCGAAATGCAGGCGAGAGTGCGATTTGTCCTGCCCGCGCGCAACCCTCTGCGGAGATCGTGCGTGTCGAGTGTGCGAAATGCAGGCACTGGCGACTTTCTAGTACGTCGTTAGTACGCGGAGTATCTGTGGAGCTGGAAGCTGAGAACTGGCGACTTTGTAGTCCAAGTTTAGTATTTTAGTACGCGGAGTACCTGGGGAGCTGGAAGATGAGAACTGGCGACTTTGTAGTACAACTTTAGTATGCGGAGTATCTGTGGGGAGCTGGAAGATGAAAACTGGCGACTTTGTAGTACTGTTGTACGCGGAGCAATCTGTGGAACTGGAAGCTGAGAACTGGCGACCTTGGAGTACAACTTGAGTACGCGGAGTCTCTGGGGAGCTGGAAGATGAGAACTGGCGACTTTCTAGTACAACTTTAGTACGCGGAGCAATCTGTGGAGCTGGAAGCTGAGAACTGGCGACTTTGTAGTACAACTTTAGTACGCGGAGTCGCTGGGGAGCTGGAAGATGAGAACTGGCGAAGTTGTAGTACAACTGTAGTGCGCGGAGTATTTGGGGAGCTGGAAGATGAGAACCGGCAACTTTGTAGTACAACTGTAGTACGCGGAGCAATCTGTGGAGCTGGAAGCTGAGAAGTGGCGACTTTGTAGTACAGTGAAGACCTTCACCAGCAGCAGTGAAGACCTTCACCAGCAGCAGACATGGACACACAGACAGACTGGGACTCATATACACATCACACACAGAGACCCCCGCACTGCCTCAACTTACTCGGACAGGCGCACACACACACATATACAGAGACTCATATACACACGGACATAGATACAGACAGGGACCCACACACTCGACTTAAACACTTCACACTGAACGCTTAACAGATAACTCACACTCTGACTTCCTACGTGATGAAAAATGCTTTTTTCGGGCCACTCGTCGTCTATTTAGATTGAGTTGGCTTTTCTTCACAGCTCTGACTTGGTCGCCTTTGCCATGGCTGGGCCGTTGCCCGATGCTGCTGGCCATCCTGGCCATCGTCCTAGTCCGGGGCCGAACAAAAATTGCTGGCGAGAGCTGGAACATGTGAGCGAGGTTCGGGTATGGACGTGCGGAATCTCATCTGGTTTGGGATCAGTTCATCAAGTGGAAAGAGAATGCCCTCATGTACTTGACAACGTGATCTAGCTAGCCTGTTCTTTGCAATGGCCAGCTGGGACATACGTTGGGCTTGTGAAAAGGAACTAAACTAAAGGAAAGATGACAACAGTGAGGTGGCCAGTTGAAATAATTCTTTCAGCCAGAGGATTAGTGGATTCTTAGCTAAGGAGGACCTTTTGCCGCACAGATCCCCTGGGACCATGCCACGCCATGTCGGTGAGGAAGGTGGCTCATTTCGTTCGGACAACCAGCGCCAGGCCCCATGAAGATATATCGGCCTCCAACGGACAAGCGTCTGAACACTCCCATTCAGACTGTTCAGGCAGGATTCATGTGGGGTCCTGATCAACCACCCTCCCCTCCCATTTTGGGATTGAACAACTTCTTCGATGATTTGATTCATCAAGATCGAGAGTAGAGTCGACAGTCGGGTCGAGATGTCAGGTCCAAGCGGTTGGTCTGAGAGCATGCATATGAAAGCAAGCTAGAGTTTCAGAGGTCTACAGAGGTCCGTCCAATGCCTTTTCTCCGGTCTCCGCCGACCGGTCGCCACCGACCGGTCGACGGAGCTTGGGCCCAGGTCGAGGGCGTCGACCCCAGGTCGGGCAGGCGGAGCGGCGGCACGGTGTTTACTACGGCGCTAGGCAGTCAACGGAACGTGAAATCAAAAACCTGTAGGCACGGCGCGTCCCTTCTCAAGCTCAAAGACGCATGTGGAGTTTTCAAGGCTACCAGAAGTGCACCTGGAGTAATAAAGGAAAGAGTAGTGCTTGGCCCCCTTGTCTTCGTTCTGCGCCTGACCAAACAGCTCCACCAGGTGCAGTGTGCCGATTCCAAATGCCTTCAGCTGCAAAGACCTGGACGTTTGGCGAACATTCTTGGAGCTCTTTCAAGCAAATGCGCAGCAAGGTGGGATGATTCAGTGGCCTTAGGTGGAGAAGGAGTGCCGTACTCTTGCTTGCCGGCCGATTCATTTGTGTGTATTTGACCTTCAGACTTGGGTAGATATAGATGATTGAACAGATTTGACAGTGTATGATTTAGTCCTGCGCCACACTTCATTGACCTGGAGCTTGACACTTTCTCCTCATATAACCTCAGGCAGGCACAGACTCTGTGTTGCCGCGCCAAGCGGTGTTCCGATTTCCAAGGGCTCCTGACTCCTGACTGCTGCGCACCCACTCCCCCCCTGATTGGTTCATGTGGCTGCTGCGCCTGCTGGGAAGTGATGCGTTTTTCTGCATGACTTACGGCTCAATTGTGACAGCTTTTCCCAATCACCACTGTCTCTTGGAGGCTTTCCGGTGGACGGCGAGCTCTTTGACATCGCGGTGCGGGGTGGGGTGGAGGAGGTTTTTCACCAGCTCATTTTGGGCAGGTCAATGTACAGCATTCTTGGAGGTGGAAGTGCTGCGCAGCTGACTTACAGAATCGTGGTGATCGATGTCCTACTGAGATACATGCACACACACTTATAGAAAAGCGTACTGATGTGAATGCGGTGCCACACGCCGGCCTAGGTTACCATTCCTAAGAGTACAGGTGAGAAACCTGAAAAGAAGTGGAGGTCCATCAATGTTCAAAGGCCATCAAAACCAAAAGCTCCAACGATCACGCGACAGGTTGACGACGTTCGTGCGTGACTACCAATGCATTTGCGCTTTACCGCAACCTGAGAAGACCTGCAAACAGCCTGAGCCAGGCCGGACCACTAGAGTCAATGTGTTCATCAGCTTCTCGCAGGTACGTGCAATCTGCGTCCAGATTGCATATCACAGCAAACTTGAAGTGTCTTCGTTGAGCGGTGACTTCAAGAATGCCCACCGCTCCTCTGCTCAAAAAAATGACAACGGAGTCAAAAGTACAATCCAAACGGACCCCTGTGATTACAAGGGGCACACACACACGCCTCCCCAAGGCGAGGCAAAAATTAGGGCTGGGACGAATGTGCAAGTGTGCGCGCAGCAAAGACAAAAGGATGAAGACGTGAGAAGGAAAACGAGACGGGACAAAAGTGTGTGTGGTTCTGATGAAAGAGAAACCAAGTGCACAGGGACAACCGATGAAACCCACCTCATTGTCGAAACCTGGGCGACCTAACACCTGAGTTAAAAGTAAATGTGCGCGTACACACTAAGGCCCGGACCGTTGTACGCGCAAAAGAACGAAAGGAGTGAGATGAAAGGACATGAAGCAAGGGAAGACATGAAAAGAAAGAGAAAAAACGTGTGTGAAGGGGAAAGGGTGAAAAAGGAACCAAATGGAGGGGACGGGAACCGATGAAACCAAACCTCATTACAACGACCTAGGAAGACCTGCCTCGTTAAAGTGTATACGATGTATGTGCACCTAAGAGTCCGACAGGTTCCAATGAACCTTGAACAAGCTTTGGCTGCCACCTTTGACCGCTGCGGTCACGTACAGGCATGAGCCAACTTGGAATTCAATAATTCGTCAAGTCTTCGCAATTAACTTTGGCATAAGCCCCCTGCTGGTTTTGATGGCCTTTGAACATTGATGGACCTCCACTTCTTTTCAGGTTTCTCACCTGTACTCTTAGGAATGGTAACCTAGGCCGGCGTGTGGCACTGCATTCACATCAGTACGCATTTCTATAAGTGTGTCTCTCCTAGTGAGAGCCCGGGATGAGCCCGCAGAGTGCCTCTCGTGGACCCGTCGAACGGGGGTTTGTCGTTGTTCCCCCTGCGCGGGAACATAAGTGTCCGATCACGCGACAGGTTGACGACGTTCGTGCGTGACTGCCAATGCATTAGCACTTTACCGCAACCTGAGAAGACCTGAGCCAGGCCGGACCACTAGAGTCAATGTGTTCATCAGCTTCTC